CAAGAACCAGCACAGAAGTCAAACTTCTCAACTGTGGTGAAATTTTTTTCACAATGGCCTAATGTGCTTTTAGTTCTTCCCTCATATCTGCCATGGCAATTACAGCTCTGAGACAATTATTTGCAACCCTGACACAAGAATTTCTGACAATGGTTCTACAGTTACTTTTGAATTAAAGTAATTTGGGGAAATGACTCACATTTAAGCTACCACCACTGTACAGATAGTGTAAACTATCAAGAATGCCCCTAAGCAAATTGGGACACAGTACTTGTCTCTCACCGCTTAAGTCAGAACTGGATAGTTGTCAAGAGAAGTCAGTTTCTGCTGAACTTGTGATGTAGCAATATCTGAATTTTTTTATTCTTAAATGAAGATTACTAAGACATAATAGAATCTTGTTCTGTTTATACCTATTCATTAATCACTTTTAGCACCAGAGTTTGTCTTAGCACAAAACTATGAAGTTTGAACCAAGACAGAATTTGTTTCAACTTTTAGTTGAAGTTGTAAGGGTATATTTTATATAGTGAAGTATGTTTATGCTTTAGGGTGACTTTGCCATGTTAGCTAATAAGTATATAATTCCAAGGACTGATTAATAGTTAAAAAGCTAGGATTTGGGGGGAGTTTATCATTTATTATTTTTGCCATTTTCTTAATATACTAGAAATTTATTTCACTTTTGTGGGGAGGTTTGGTATAACGTAAGAAAGTGTCTACAAAAGCACTTTGCAAGTTGTAGACTATTCCCATGATCTGGATAATACTAGCAGGGATAACATCAACAATGCACAACTTTTATAGCACTTACTATGTGTTGAAAACTGTTCCAAGTACTTTAGGTAATTTTTAACTATTTAATTTTCACAGAAGTCTTCTGAGAGTAGATATTAGCAATTTCATTTGACAATTGAGGGACTGAGGCCCAGAGTGATGAAGTAACTTGTTTAAGATCCCAAGTTAGTATATGGCGTAGAGGGGATTTAAACCCAGGCAGAGTGGCTTCAGAGTTGAGAACAGAAAAATAGGAAGCCCCTGCCTTTTCTATGGCAGTCTGAATATTAAATAGTGAGTAAATAGATGCTTCTAAGAGGCTATAATTGAATGAGAAGAGTGTTGCTCATTTGATTTTGATGTCTATGAATCTGATAGGCACTGTGATTTTATCTGCCAAAGCGAATTTAAAAATAATCACAAATATGCTTATTTTGATTTGGTGTGACATAATTCTACTCTTTGGCTGGTTTTCAATAGTTTTATTATTCTAGCAGTATAAAGGGCATTTTAAAAAGTAAATGGTAAAAAAAGTTTTTCTATTTCATCTTTAAAAAAACTCATTGGTTTATCTCTTGGTTGGGTTCTTGCAGCAGTGTGACAAAAAGGTATGATTAAAAGACTCTCCCAGGGGCAGGTGCAGTGGTTCATGTCTATAATCCCAGAACTTTGGGAGGCCAAGGTGAGAGGATTGCTTGAGGTCGGGAGTGTGAGGTTGCAATGAGCTATGATTGTGCCACTGTACTCCAGCCTGGGCAACACAACAAGACCCTATCTCTAAATAATAATAGAAATAGTAATACATAAAAGATTCTTGCAGAGACTAAAAGGGAAACTAGTTCATAAGGGTTCAGTCATCTTCACAACAGGTTGCCTTTCAGACAGTGATGCTGACTTGTGCAATTTCAAGAAAAAGTCCCGGATTTTCATATTGTCAGCTTCAGTTATTACAGGTGGGCCAACTGTCTCCTACAGGGTTAGAGTGAGTGGTCTGTAGAGGCGAGATCCATGAATAGTACAACAAACTGAGCTACCCTTTAAAAAAATTAGTGCTTCAGTTAATATGACCTCACATTTTTCTCCCCAACTATAACTTTAACCCTGTAGTTTATGGGTCTAAAAGATTTTTCATAGCATCTCCTTCTGCTATAATGAGAGTCACAGTAATTGCTCAAAGGCGTTGACTCCAAAGAAATGCTTTATTTTGTTTTTCCATTCCTTTTGGAAGAAATATCCTTTGCCCAGGTGGATTTAATTCAACTCAAAGGACTTTCTCTTAAAAAAAGAAAAAGTAAGGACTATTTTCATTTCTTATGTTTCTTCTAGGTGCTGTATTTAAGTTTTATAAGGGATAGTGGATAGTAGAGTTGTATTCCTTGGTAGAGTAAGTTCTTACACGTCACTATTTCTTTTGAGACTAGTCACCACTTTTACTTTTACACCCCATTATGAAGAGGTCTTAAAGAAAGAAAACATGAAACAGGAAGCAATAATAAATGTCTGTGTTCTAAGAATTTAAGTACCAATAAATAAAAGTTGTTATAAGGATAAGCAAACTCCAGACACTCCCAGTGTCTATTAGAATTCTTGGCACTGGCCGGGCGTGGTGGCTCATGCCTGTAATCCCAGCACTTTGGGAGGCCGAGGCAGCCAGATTGCCTGAGGTCATGAGTTTGAGACCAGTCTGGCCAACATGGTAAAACCCAGTCCCGACTAAAAATACAAAAAAAAAAAAAAAAAAAAAAGAAAGAAAATTAGCCAGGCATGGTGTAATCCCAGCTACTCAAGAGGCTGAGGCAGGGGAATTGCTTGAACCAGGGAGGTGGAAATTGCAGTGAGCTGAGATTGCACCACTATACTCCAGCCTGGGCAACAGAGTGAGACTCCATCTCAAAATAAATAAATAAATAAATAAATAAATAAATAAATAAATAAATAAAAATTCTTGGCACTGTGACATTTAGGACGTGTTAGTTGGGTGTTAACTGTGCACAAGACGGGTCTGTCTGATGATCACATAAGTTAGTAGACAGGCTATGCCATGTAGAGCCTCCTCAGAGTCAATGGCTCCTCTTATGCTTCCAGAAGACTTGGTAGATGTTCCTATTATTGCGCTCATCTCATTGTGAACTCTTTGAGGGGAGGGTTATATCTTATTGACTTAAAATGGTGCCTAAAACAATTGGCACCTAATGAATATTGTAGAATGAAGAGGGAAGATAGGACTGGTTCATAAGTAAGATGGAGGAAGATCATTTCAGGCAATGAATATAATAGGAGGAAAGGAAAGACATGGAAGGCTCTGCAGGCGCAGTGGCTCATGCCTGTAATCCCAGCACTTTAGGAGGCCGAGGCGGGTGGATCATGAGGTCAGGGGATCGAGACCATCTTGGCTAACACGGCGAAACCCTGTCTCTACTAAAAATACAAAAAAATTAGCCAGGTGTGGTGGTGGGTGCCTGTAGTCCCAGCTACTCCAGAGTCTGAGGCAAGAGAATGGCATGAAGCCGGGAGGTGGAGCTTGCAGTGAGCCAAGATCGCGCCACCGCACTCCAGCCTGGATGACAGAGCGAGACTCTTCTCAAAAAAAAAAAAAAAAAGAGAGAGAGAGAGAAATGATCACGTGGTTGAATTTGGTTAAAATGTAATTTAAGAAGGCACTATTGGAAGCTACAACTGAAAAGGTAGAACGGGCAGGATTTCATGTCATTTGACATTTCAAATCATTGTCAAGTTGGGGTGGGGGGGTAGTAGGTGATTCCTTAAATTTGGAGCTTAAATGACGAGAATGGGTGTGATCTTCTTAAAAGAAATTAAAATTAAGGGGAAAACATTTGAAAGAGAAGGAATATTCTGTTCTGAAAAATTGAGTTTGAGCTTCCAGTGGAGCCTCAAGACACAGGTAAGGAAATCTAAATGGAAACAGAATGAGAAGCTTAGGAAAGCAAGGTCCAGGCTGGAGGAAACACATTTGGCAGGCAGACCAGCAGAAGTGATTGTGTAACTAAGGATAAGATGAAATTGCCAAACAGAAGAGGAGCACAACAAAATAACTGAGGATAATACCTAAAGAACTTGAGAAAGAATAACCAAAATATGAGAAAGTGAAGGGGCAATGAGAGCTACGTGTCACAGCATGAATGTTGGATGCAGCATGACATGAAGAAATGGCTGGATTTTGTAGCCAAGAGTTGAGTCAGGTGTTGCTCAATCACCTGTTAGCTGCATGATCTGCAGCCAATTACCTAAGCTCTTGGGCCACAGTTTCCTTACCTTACCTGCAAGGTGGGAATAACATCTCTGAAGTTGTGTTAATATAAATAGATTAAACAAGTATTCCTTAAATAATGCTTTTAAATCACTCCTTTTATTAAAATAATAATCACCAATAAAAGAGAAGATTTGGAGTTATCTGTGTTTCTTATGTACATGCAAGCAATTATATTACAAAATGTATTATTGTAAAAATGTCCTGTAATGAGTACAAAATTAAAGACTTAGGATGTTTTGGATTATGTAATTTGTAAAGGAATACACTGTCTTTTGCCCACAGTCTTCTGAGTAAAGCATTTTGGAGTTTAAATATAATTCAGTCTGTTTTATCAAGGTTAATTTTTTGAGAACCTGCTCTGTTCCCAACTCTTTTCTTGCTCTTCTGACTAAATTCCTCTACCTAAGCCCTTTGCTTTCCAATTCTTAGGGTGTTTATTATTCTGAGTCTTCTTTAGGTGACTGATACTCCCCAACTCTGGGAACTACAGCTTTTGAAGCAATCTTAAATTTATAGCGTTTGTGATTTTTCTAGTACATTCTATTGAACACACTCTTCTTTTTTATTTTTGACAGAATAAAATTATATTTAAAACTGTTTATTGAGTTATGATTAATTGGCATACAAAAAGCTGTACATATTTAATGTCTTCAACTTGATGAGTTTGGAGATAAGTATACACTATGAAACCACCAGCATAATATCTGCCATAAACCTGTTCATCACCTCCAAAAAGCTTCTCCCATCCTCTTTATTTATTATGAGAAGCAAAATTATTATTTTATTGGGATGCATTTGTAAATTTTTGCCTCAGAAAATATTATCTGATATAAAGTTAATTTTTCCATGACTCAACATCATTCACAAAATGCTTTTAAAGCATTTAACATACTGGCATTTTTCACTTTTATTAGAAAAGGAAACAATAACTCTTTGTTATCCTTCTTATTAGGGTAACACATTAAGAAAGATACTTCTGAATCGATACTTTAAAGGTGATTATAGTATTGGCATGAATGGACACCTATCAGGAGCCTACTCCAAAACTGCACAGGTGGGAGGTAAGTCCTGTCATTTGTTTTTTCGTTTTAGGATTCTCTTGATACATCTCCATGTCATTGTTACTCTCGTATTTTACTGAAATGGCAGAGATATAAAAGAGTCATTTAAAAATCACTATTAAAAACTTTCATACAATTTGGGGTTCATAAAACAACAGATTTGAACATCAGAATTAATTTTGCTTTTTGACTTTGGAAAAATAGTTAAGTTATAATCTCTTAAGTAGAAATTAAGGACAAAATAAGCTAGTTTTCTTTTTCTATTTTTAAGCAAAACATTTAATCACATGTGTCAAACATTTAATAAAGAGTTCTGTTTTTACAAACTTTGATTTTTTAAACTCAAGCTTGTTTGTTTGTTTGTTTTGTTTCTTTTTTTTTTTCTTTTTTCCGAGACAGAGCCTCGCTCTGTCACCCAGGCCAGAGTGCAGTGGCACAATCTTGGCTCACTGCAACCTCCGCCTCCCAGGTTCAAGCGATTCTCCTGCCTCAGCCTCCCAAGTAGCTATGATTGCAATCATGTGTCACCACACCCGGCTAATTTTTGTATTTTTAGTAGAATTGGACTTTCACTCTGTTGGCCAGGCTGGTCTCGGACTCCTGACCTCAAGTGATCTGCCCGCCTTAGCTTCCCAAAGTGCTGGGATTACAGGCATGAGCCACCATGCCCAGCCTCAAGCTTCTATTATATTTAACTTTGTAGGGAAAAATCTCAATGATTAATATTTTTATTAAAATAATAAAATTTAAGAATTTGAAAACCTTACACGTTAATAGTGTCTATAATTAAGATTTATTTATTTATTTTTCCTAATCACAGGAAGCTTTTCTGGACAAGATTCAGATAAGATGGGGATATCAATGTCAGATATTCAGTGTCTGCTGGATAAAGAAGGTGCCTCAGAACTTGTCATCGATGTTATAGTGAACACCAAAAATGACAGAATTTTTTCAGAAGGCATTTTCCTCGGCATTGCCTTGCTCGAAGGAGGAAATACACAAACACAGGTACTTGTTCATCAATCATGGGGATTACATTTATTATTGGTATTTCTTGTTTACTTGTCACAGAAACCAAGGAAAAGTAATGTGTTTCTTTTAGCTCTTATTACTATAAAAAAAATCCATGTATCACACTTTTCTTAAATTTATTTGTTTGCTGTAGAAACTACAGAGCTTCACAATTTATTCTGTCAAGCAGAACATTCCTCTGAAACTTCCTTCTGACATTATTCCAGGAATTCCACAACAGTGAGCAATATGCTTACCTGCACACAGGAGATTAGGCCACTATTTCCAGAAGGCACATGTTTTCTTTTGAAACTTCTGCCAAGTAGCCCGTAGGCTTGACTACACCCAAAGGCAAAACATGCTGTATGAGCTGGAGAGCTGGGGAGTGTTCCCAGATGACAGACATTTTCCTCCAGTCTTTTTTTTTTTATCATTATGGTTAAATAGTAATAATTGTACATATTTATTGGGTACAGTGTGATATTTTGATACATGTATATAATATGTAATGATCAAATCAAGGTAATTAGCACATCCTTCACCTCAAACGTTTATCATTTTTTTGTGTTGGGAACACTCAAAATTCACTTTTCTAGCTATTTGAAAATATACAATAAATTGTTAATTATGGCCACCCTACTGAGGATTAGAACACAGGAATTTATTCCTCCCATATAACTGTCTGTTTTGCTGCTTGGTAGCCTGCTCTTTCTAGGTTTGCCTTGGTCAGTAAAGAAAACTACCTACTTACAACTAAGTATGTTATTAGAAATTCCAAAAGCCATTTTCTCGACTCATGGCCAGCAGAAGCCATGTCTAATTTGAAACTTGGATATTGTGCTTCATTTAACTGTCAAATACATTGAACGATAGGAACATTACCATCTAACACATCCAATCACAGTGGCTTTAGGAATAAAGGCCTCGAGCAGCAAGTGGCATGGTGACAAAACAACGCTACATCTATAGTACTTAGTTGAGAAAAGAAAGTGTTTAAAATTCTCATGATGCTGTAGCTGCAGCATAGATTTCCTCTGCAGGAAGTTGAGGAAGGAGGTGATGGAGGAAGTTGAGTGAGTTTTCTTGGAAATTATCTTATCTGAACCAGGTGTTCAGTTGGGGCTTTTTAAAAATTGTATTTTATTTTTAATTGATAAATAATCATTGTGTATATTTATGGGGTACAATCTGATGCTTTGAGATATATATATATATATATGTTGTGTAATGATCAAATGAGGATATTTAGCATATCCATCACCTCAAATATTTATCATTTACTTGTAGTGAGAGCATTTAAAATTCTTTCAGCTATTTGAAAATATATAACATATTATTGTTATTAAGTATCATTGCCTTGCTTTGCAGTAGAACACCGAAACTTACTCCTCCTGTTTAACTGAAACTGGACTCTATGACCAATGTTCCACTGTCTACTTCTATGACTTCAGCATTTTTAGCTTCCACTATTTTACTTATCAATGGATGAATGATTTTTTAAAATGTGGTTTATGAACATGACAAAATACTATTCAGACTTAAACCAGGAAGTTCTGTCAACTGGGACTTTCTAGAGGAAGTGTCCAGGCAACCACATAACATTAGATAGAGACTTTTCAGTGGACAGAAGTGACAGTATTTTTTTTTTTTTGGTAGCGGGCATCTCTAGAAGAAATCCTTAGGATTACAGTCTTTTCTAGATTTCTGTTTCTAGGCCACTAAGGGTCACCAGATGGGATCATCCTTCATCCTTTGCACTTATTTTTGCTTACTTGTATCCTCATATTGCTGCGGAATAAGCCAGCTCCCATTGGAAACTGCACCTTCTATTTATAAATTCCTGGCAAGTTGTTCCCCCAAGATCTCTTCACAACCAAAATATTTTTCAGTCCTTCTTTACATGATTTTCTGTGGCATTTGCCACTAGTGACTTTTTCTTTCTTCTTGAAACCTTTTCTGCCTGGGTCTTGGGACACTACCCTCTCCAGCTTGTCTTCTACCTCCTACCATTTCTTCTTAGCCTTCTGCAAAGGTTTTTCTTCCTCTGCTTAACTCTTGAATCCTGACATCTCCCAAGTCTCTTTGCACTCTCTCTTCTCACTCTGTTTGTTCTCCAGCCTGACCTCATTCATTTCCACACCTTTAATGTTTACTGTGTTTGGATGCTTCTGAACTCACTGACATTCTAGACTCTGTATCCAGCTGTCTTCCAGAATATTTAGTGGGATGTGCACAAATGCCTTAAGCTCAACAAATCTCACATGGAATCTGCTGTTGTTCTCCATACACCCACTGCTCCTTTTGCCATTATCTCTCTCAATGACTGGCACTCCATCTACCCAGTTGTCTGATCAGAAAATGATAGTCAGCCTTGAACTTAACTTCTCCACCCTCACTTACTCTCTTCCTTAACATCCCACTGATGACCAACTTCTGTGATTCTACCCCCTTAATATCCCTCATATCCATACTCTATTATTTTCAATCCCTGCTTTTCCAACTCTCACTACAGATCCTCTTTGTCTTTTCCTGGACAGTGACAAATAGTCTTATAAGAGGTGTCCCTGCTTCCAGTTTTGCTCTTCTCCAAATCATTCTTCATGTTGCCTTCAAAGATGCCTTTCCAAAAACATGCTATTCTTCTGCTTAAAATCTGTCACCTGCCCTATAAAGACAGACTCCCTGCTATAGTCCATAAGATCCTTCCTGTTCTCTTCAAATTTTCCAACTTTCCCTTGTTCTTCCACCCTCTTGCCTCCTGCATCCTTCCTCTTATGCATCAGCTACACTTAGCTCTTTGTCATTCCTCAAATGCGTTGTGTTATTTCTCATGCTGCTTTCTCCTCTTTGAGGATTCAACTCAATACATTTCTCCTAGAAGCCTTTTCAGGCTCTGTATCTCACTGGGTAGAATTGATTACTGCTTACTGTGTGCCCCTGTTATAACCTGTGAACGTCTTTAATGACATTTCTGCCACTTTTTTTTGTTTGTTTGTTTTTGAGATGGAGTTTCACCCTTGTTGCCCAGGCTGGAGTGCAATGGTGCAATCTCGGCTCACTTCAACTTCCGCCTCCCCGGTTCAAGCGATTCTCCTACCTCAGCCTCCTGAGTAGCTGGGATTACAGGAACCCACCACCATGCCCGGCTAATTTTTTGTATTTTTAGTAGAGGTGGGGTTTCATCCTGTTGGCCAGGCTGGTCTTCAACTCCTGACCTCAGGTGATCCACCTGCTTTGGCCTCCAAAAGTGCTGGGATTACAGGCGTGAGCCACCGGGCCCGGCCATTTCTGCCACTTTTTTGTGCCTCTTCATGTGTGTATCAGGTGCCATCTAGTAAATTATAAGTCCTTCAAGGTTGCAACTACATTTTATTCATCTTGGTACCCCTTGTGTCTGGACCAATCTTGGGGTTCAATCAGTGTGCAGGAGGGAATGGATCTGTGAATGAATAGTCCTAATCAAATTCTTTCTTCTTCATAAAGTCTTTCCTAGCTCGTCTGGGGCATTTGGTATCCATTCCCTTGTCTCAGCTCCTATGCACTTGTTTCTTTAATACCCACTTGGCATTTTGCACGTGCTACTTTGTTTAGTTGTAATTTGTATTATACCCTGCCTCTCCAGTTGAATTTCAACTTCTTCAGTATGGGGGATCATATCCTATTCTTTATGTCTACAATACTTTACAGCCATTCAACAAATATTTGTTGATGAAACAGCGTTAAATTACTTTTATATATGAAAATCTTCTTTTAAGATGGATTATGACAATAGGTACCAGCCTTCCTCTACTCGGATGTCTCACATTGTACAACCCAGATGGCAACTATGTTTTCCTGGCTCTAAGAGGTCTAGTTGAGATTAGCTCAAATCTTATTCCTTGCCCTATAGCAGTCTAAAGCACACTCCTCCCCAATATACTTGCCAGTTCCCCGGGGGTTTTACATTCTCACTGTCTCCTTAGCCAGAAACAGTCTTGCTTTCTCAGCACATAGATTCTTAACACCCCTGCTTCTGTCATGCTGAGAATTGCAGCCCCTTCCTTAATTTCTTCCTTTCTAGCTACATTAAGTCAACGTATGTATGTTCTATACTTTGTTAAAGATCAACTGAAGGGGAGGATACAGGAGGTACTTATATTACAGTTTCACATGGAACCTAATGATAGCAATAAGAAAAATCATACCTACTAAATATGAGGCACTGTTCTTTGTGATTTGTATGTTTTACCTTGGCTAATATTCAAACAACCTGCGAGGTAACTGGTCTGTTATCCTATTTTACTAAAGAAGAAACTGAGATAGACCCAAGCTTACGTCGCTAGTTAGAGATAGAGCCAGGTTTCAAATCCATGCAGTCTGGCTCCAGATCTGTGCTCTTAGATGCAATAAGCATCTATTTTCTAGGAATAATCATCTCCATCCTCACCCCTAGGATATTTTACTTGAGGATTCTCCCTGCATCATGCTCTTGTCTTTCTCCATTCTCACTTCCCTTCCCTTTTCTGCCTCTTCCACTCCCCTGTCACACATATCTGTTTATCCATCCCCGTTAGTTCCAAAACACTTGGAGTTTCTTTCCTCTTACACTCTGTGCAGCTAATGGAGGTAGTTTCCTAAGCAAAAATCATATCTTTAGTGAGAGGAATCCTTATGCTACTTATTGAGATTATATAAATATATATGGAACCTACTTTTCCTTTTTAAAATCGTGTTGTTAAGCATTGTAGATACCTGGTTCTGAAAAGGTATTATCTGTGTAAATAATCTAGCGTTTTGATCGTAAGAGGTTGTTTTATACATTTAGTGATTTAGAGTCAGAAAATCTAGATTTAAATCCTAGCTCTACCCCTTACTAGTTACATAATATTGGGCAAGTCACTCATCTTTACTAAACCTCATTTTATGAATCTATAAAATGGAACTAAGAATACTCTATTCATCACACTGGTGAATTGAAAGTATCTATGAAGTGATGTATACGTAAGAACTACATAAATTATGAAACTTTGTTTTAATAGAGCCACAAAGTTCTCATAACTCCTCATTAATATATTGGAAACTCCTTCCACCTTCTAACCCCATTATATTGAAAAGATTCTAACTTTATCATCTGCTTAATTCATGGGATTGTAGAGGTCTGTGGATGCTGCATTTATTGTTTGAATTAACAAAACCAGCTTGACTGCTTTACTGTGGTTGCTATGGTTACCATGACTTTTTGGCCTTATTTCTTGAGGGTTGCTCGCCTTCTGTGTAGGAACTTACCCTTGTAGGTGTGCAGCTGACATCTAAGGCTTCATAAGACATTCTGTGTATATACATTGCGCATAGAGAAAATTGCAGGGTAGGCAACCATTTCAAGACCTGATGTCATTAGAGTCTCGGTTATGGATCCCAAGACCTGTGGGTCATGGTTCCAGGAATTCCTAAAGGAAAGCATATCCTGGAGGCAAACTCCCCAAATTTGGCTATTTAAATGTTCTTATATTGGAATAGGACCAGTTCTGCTTGATCTGGAAATTATTTTTTCTTATGTTTACTTCATACTATCTCTCCTCGAGCTTATATAACTCTTTTATTCACTACAGTTAGGGAGTTACTATCTTTATTAATTTACAAATGATATTTATCTTGTCTTGTGTCTATCTCATAATCTTGGTAGTAAGAAGTTATAATTTCCCCACCCACTTCAAATTCTATCTTCCCTGGAATGTGTTATCTTTCCTACCTCCTACTGCTTCTCCTGGACACTTCCATAAGGCATTGAGCAGACAAGAATTGGGTAAATCTTCCCAGGGCTGAATATTTCCACATCTTACAAAGATACATTTTATCATACTTTTGTTTCTGAACCACTTCTGCATCATTATTGACTAAATTTATTTTAAGGTGGATTTGTCTGAGACCCCATGCAAAACAATGTAGCTAATGAGGAACCAAAAGAAGTTGGTACCTGTTTATCAGTGAGATCCCATGAGTCAGGCTACCGTGGTAACACTTTCTAAATTTCTAAAATGTACTGTAATTTAGATAAAGAGAAAAATAGTCCTTTGTAACTTTCCGTAAACTCATGTTTATACAGGGTGATCATTGGGTTGATGGCTATTTTCCACTTTAGATTACAAACTCATGAGAGCAAGGATTGTGGTTGGTTTCCATTTTTGTTCTATCCCTATTAACAGAGGGCTTGACACATAGTGGGCACTCAATACATTCATGTTGAATCAATGCATGACTTTATAATAATATAAAAATCAAAGAATTCTTTCCATACAACTTCTTATAATGTCCCTGTACATTTTTAAAAATATATAACCAGTAAGGATAAATTAAACAGCATATGAAAATATGTTGGAGTTTAGTGGAAAATGCTAAGTAAATACCAACTATTATTAGTACACATTAAATAGTACAAGAAACTGGCAAAGGCTGTCAATTTATGAAATAATAATGGGTAGTGCATTAAGTATGTGCTTTTACCTATAATGCTTATGTTTATTTCAAGCATAAAAACACTATTTGTCTCCCCTTGGGTATTGATGTCTTAAAATATGTTTTCTTGCAGTATTCTTTCTACCAGCAGTTGCATGAACAAAAAAAGTCAGAAAAATTCTTTAAAGTTCTCTATGATCGAATGAAGGCTGCTCAGAAAGAAATAAGATCAACAGTGACAGTTAATACCATAGATTTAGGTAGCAAAAAAAGGGATGATGACAATGAATTGATGACATCTGGTCCACGAATGAGAGGTAAAGAAGCATTTGAGTATTTGGGAGAACAGAGTGAGAGAAAAGAGGGGAATAGTGTTTAAATCTCATTAACATTTGTCATCTCTCTTCTCTTGGTTTAATTATCCCCACTGTGGCTCTGATCATCCATAAAGAATTTTGGTCATGGGTTGACCCTAAAACGGCTCTGCAGGACTAGACTTAAATGAGACATAATCAGTACAAAGCAACCAACGACATGAAAAATGTTTGATTTCACTGTTGCATGCATGGTAAAGAATAACTGCCCCAAATCTTTTAAGTTACCATGAAAATAAAACTTTAAAAACAGAAATTACCACACCAAACTCCAATGAAAGATTCTTGGTATTAGAATGACAAAATCATCCATGTATTAAATACAAATCATAAAGACACTAACATTTTGAAGTTTGTCACATTTTCCTACCTTCTTGAACATGAAACTCATATATATATGTTTATATATATGAATATATATATTATATATATCAGAAAGACATGAGTCCTTTTAAAATTTGCTAAGCATTGAGATCTTTTTTATGACCCACTGCAAATTTAACTTTTAAGTGCTATCTCAAATCCTTTTTGGAAATTGTTGCACCTTTTTTCAGATTATTTGTAATTCAGTTGTTAGAGAATTTGGGTACCTGGTTGTTTTTCTTTTTTTCTAAAAATTAGCGAAAGCAAATTGGCTCAGAAATATAAAAGTACTGCTTTGTTTTCAGTAAGAGATTCAACACTACATTTAAAAGAGGGAATGAAAGGGCAATTAACAGAAGCTTCTTCAGCAACATCCAAAGCATATTGTGTATACAGAAGAGAAATGGATCCAGAAATAGACATTATGTGCACAGGACCAGAAGCAGGAAACACTGAGGAAAAATCTGCAGAGGAAGTAACAATGAGTCCTGCAATTGCCATCATGCAGCCAATACTGAGATTTCTTCAGTTACTGTGTGAGAATCACAACCGGGAATTACAGGTATTTGTTCTGTTTTGTGTGAAAGCTGAGAATACAACCTATGTTTGTAAGTAATTAAATTCCAATAAAACCAACAAGTAGTTTTGGAGAGAGTTTTGGAAAGATAATCAATAAAAGCAATTGTCCTCTTCTGAAATGGGAAGAAACTTTGGTATCAGTGAAGAAAAGGAAGAAGAAAATCCTTTTATACAAAAAAAAAAAAAAAAAAAAAAATCAGCCTCATACAGTATCATCCTCATCAATATTTTTAGCCTCAAATATTTTTAACCTCAGTGGGCATCCTCTTCCTAGTATTCTCTGGTAAGGTTATGTTGTTGAGAGAGATCATATTTGTCCCATCTATATCTTTCATGGTTTTATAGTCTTAAGGGGCTTTCATTATTTTCAAGCCAATTCATATTTCTCAAGTGAGAATACTGAGTATATTTGTATGTCTTCATTTGAAACAGAATTAACATAGAAGAGGATGTTTTTAACTAGAGTGAAGGTGGATACATTCAAAAATGAATGTAGTCAGTGTCTTATATCTTCTTTCCTGCATTTTCCTTTGTTAGATAGATGAACTTAGGAGTGCCTATGAATTTTGACTTTTGGCCACTTTTTTGCATTGTTTGTACACAGGCAGGCCAAGGCCAGAAACACTGCTTCTGGAGGGACAATACTGGATCAGTGCCCACGGGCATATCCTAACCCATTTCATCTGTCAGTGTAGGAAATAGACATATAGGGTATATAACACATTAGATAGTATCTGATTGAACAGTTTACTGATAGGAGTGTGGGATCAGTATAGAAAATACTACTTTTAAAATTGTCTTAAGAAGAATAAATGGTAGATATAAATTCAAATAAACACATTAAATAATAAATTAATAGAAATAAATACTAAATTGAAATATAAAACAAGTTTCCTTCCCAGCTTACCCTTTTACTAGGTTTACTCCCCAGAGAAAATCACTGTTAACAGGTGATTAATCTGGAGAACTTCACTGAATATTGTCAGGGTCTAGGTTTTTTCTTCTAGAAATTTTTATGCATGCATAAGCATGTTGATCTGTGCAGGTAAACATTTTTTAAAAATCATATTCTGTGGTATTCCGGCCAGGCGCGGTGGCTCACGCCTGTAATCCCAGCACTTTGGGTGGCCGAGATGGGTGGATCACAAGGTCAGAAGATCAAGACCATCCTGGCTAACATGGTGAAACCCTGTCTCTACTAAAAAAATACAAAAAATTAGCTGGGCGTGGTGGTGGGCACCTGTAGTCCCAGCTAGTCTGGAGGCTGAGACAGGAGAATGGTGTGAACCCGGGAGGCGGAGCTTGCAGTGAGCCGAGCCGAGATCTTGCCACTGCACTCCAGCCTGGGTGACAGAGTGAGACTCCATCTCAAGAAAAAAAAAAAATCATATTTTATGGTATTCCTCAACTTACATTTTTCATTTAGTAATATCTGTTATTAGTCAATTACTTATTGCCAGGTTATGTTTATTGGTACATGTTGAAGTACCGAATTTTTATAGTTTTACAGTATTCTAATGTTTGGATATACTATTGTTTATTAAGCCAGTCACATTACCATAATTATGAGATGGTTTCTGGTGTTTGTATAACAAGCAGTATGCAGGGAACCTGTTGGTGTACTTGTGTACATATATCTAGAGAAGTTAGAAGTGGAGCTGTATGTTAACTGAAAATTTTGATAGATACTTCCAGGTGCCCTTCATAATGGTTATATCGTTTATAATCAATGAACAATGAAGTTGCACTGTTCATATGAGATTATTTATAATTGAAAATTTGCTTCTCTCCCTAATGAACTTCTTTCTACCTAGTTTTTTTTCTCTTTTTCCCACTTCTCATTACTTTTGCCCTCTGTGTGTAGTTTGATGATAATGACACTGAGAAATGTTTATTATGAACTATCTTGAGATATATATATAAAAAATATATATATACACACAAAGGCACAATATATTATATATTATATATAGTACATATATGTGTGTGTATATATGTGTGTGTGTGTGTGTGTGTGTGTATATATATAGATAGATAGAGAGTTGCTTGAGGAAAAACCTAAGGCCTAAGGGCCTTTCTCCCTCCTTAAATGGAGGACAATTTTAATAAATGCGAATAATTTTCTTACAAAGAAGAGTTAGAAAAGCGCACATATGGGGAGAACAACAAACAATCAGCACAGTGAATTTTTGTAACCCTTCAGGTTTATTTTCTTTTGCCTTCAGAACTTCTTGAGGAATCAAAACAACAAAACAAATTACAACCTTGTCTGTGAGACCCTTCAGTTTCTGGACTGCATTTGCGGAAGTACAACCGGTGGCCTGGGCCTGTTGGGTCTCTACATCAATGAGAAGAACGTAGCACTGGTCAACCAGACCCTGGAGAGCTTGACTGAGTATTGCCAGGGCCCCTGCCATGAAAATCAGGTAACGAGAAGTATTCATGACTAATTAGTAAAGGGATTAAGTTGGGGAAGGAGCCAATCTTTGTGTGCACTTGAAAGATCTTTCTTCTTGCTGTGCCAGACATTTTTACTTTCCTAAGAAAACATACAAAGACTGAATTATAGACGAGGAAATGCTATGCTGCATTTGTATATAATTTCATTGTAAAAACAATTCCCATGAAAATGTTCAAGATAAAAATCGACTTACTGAAAAAAGTGAAATATGTGTCATGACCACCACCCAGTTTTCATCTTTAGTGAACCTTTCCGGGATTTGTGGAATAAACTTTCTTTGGCTCTTTTGGCACCCCTACAAGGAGTAGTATATGTTGTTTCTTTTATATGCACAATACACTTGTGAATAGGTGTCATTATTCCTACTTTGCTGATGAATAGGCTCTAACTCAAAGATTAAGTGACTTTCCAGAGTTTCAGAGTGACAGAATCAGTAAGTTGTAGAGCCACTCTTACAACTAAGGATTTTTTATTCTGGGTCTAAATCGAGTGCTCTTTCGACTATATTACATTCTGGAGGGCACAGTTTCAAGTCTCGTTTCCAGAATGTTTGCCTCTAATTTTGTTTACTTGGATATCAAGGACATATTATGGGAGTAGAAGGCAGGACGCTTGGGTCAATTAAGGGAAGGGATGCCACCTGAAAGTTTGCCAGTTGACTGTATCACCTCCTCTCAGGCATCATGGAGCTACCATCATAGGCATGGATCAGTCCAGAAGACAGAGTTTTCAAGTCATAAACATTTCTGGATATAAATATTAAAGAAGCCATTGAGAGCAAAAACAACAATGATTGACATAAAAAAATGTGAAAAAGAAATTTGCTTTTTTAAAAATTGCAATTTACATGAGATGTACACACACATGCACATGGTGTCTATGCACACACACATATATTTATGAACATATGCACACATATGTACATGCATAGTTGTATAAAATAAAAACAGGACAATTTTGGCATAAACAATTTGTTATGGAGGTATTTTCCTTTCTGTACTGTACATATGAAATACCAAAAGAGTTTGTGGATTTTTCCCTGCATTTTTCTGGGTTATATTTCAGTCTCCCAGAGCAATGATACAAGAAAACCTAGATGTTGATTTAAAGTTAAGGAAAAGCATACAAATTCAAAGATTTGGTTTTGTTGTTGATAAAAACTTGTACATCTATAATAGAAAATAATTATACCATTTGTCTCTTCTGCTGTTTCCGGGAAAGCTTGTGAGAATGTTCCCCAGTTTTGGTCTCATAAGAGAATGGAAGTGAACTTTGAAAGTAATTTACTAAAACCAAATATGTTCTAAAAGTAAAAGCTAATTTTCAAATAACATGAACCTCACAAATACTTCCCCATTGCCCTGAAAATGTGTGGGAGGAAAGATTGCTGGCAAATTCTGGAGATGATCTGCAAAAAGATTCTCTTTAAGTTTGGCAAATATTTTAATGAGCAAAAGAACCTCAGGAAAGGTAGGAGATGGGTAGAAAACACCTTTCCTCTGTGTCAGAGGAATAAAAACTCCATTGTATGAAGGGAGAAATAAAGCCCATGCTGAAAAAGCAGTCATTTCGAAATTGTCTTGATTTTGTTCTTTCTCATTTAACTTGCCAGGATTTCAGTTTTTCATACCCCTTGACAAGGTGCTACATTGTTAACACATAGTCCTACAAATCTGGCTCACAAGTTCCTGATTTAAGACCTGTAACATTAAATTCAGAATCCCAGCACAGTTGATCTTAACCTTCAAAATGTGGATGTTTATCTCACAGGATGTTTCATAAATTTTCCCCAATGAAGATCCCTCATGTAAGTTTAAGAAATTCAGTAAATTTTTCCTTTGGCCATCATTATTGACAGCATGTCCCCAGACATCAGGAGAGTCTCTATATTACTTGTCTTCGCTTCCACCTGGCATGGACAGCAGCATCTCTTGTCATCAGTTTAGCATTAAGTAGCAATCAATTTAAATTGCTTCATCAGTACTGTAAAATTTGCCTACAAATCTCAGGTATGAGGGACACACGTCTTTCATAAATGGGAAAATTGTTTTATTGAGGATAATTCAGATCTTAAAATTCTGACCTTAAAGAACTCCTCCGTTGATTGGTATATTAAAGTTTATTGAATGAAAGGATATTTAACTTAACCAGTAGTCTCCGAAATTCTATAAACACAGTATATTTTAAAAGATATATGCTTCACGCAGTGTCTCTCTCAGTGTTCTGCATACAAGGCCATTTGATCAATACTAATCAATTAATTGCCAGACCCTATACAAAAGAATAAGTCAAATGCTCAAAGGCAAATCTTAGCTATTTTTTAAAGGTTAAAAATTAAGGTTTTTATGTTGCTTTATATCCTGTTAGTTCTGTGCTATTCTGTTGTGAATCAAATGCTGTTCTACAAATATTTTGTTTTCTAGACCTGTATCGCTACACATGAGTCTAATGGGATTGATATCATCATTGCTTTGATTCTGAATGACATAAACCCTCTTGGTAAATACCGAATGGATCTGGTGCTCCAGCTAAAGGTAGAGCGAATCCACTGTTCAGGCCAGAAAAGCTACAGTTTCTATAGTACAATCTTTAAGCAGCTCTTGTCAAAAGCATACTATCATGTTTTCAACGAATCAATTGACAGAAAGGGATAGTGAAAGTCCAATGCTTACTAAACTCCAGATGCAATGTGAAGTTAGCTTTGAGGTAATATTCCATGGCAAGGTCCTTTCCTGGAAGTTCTCCAAGCAGCCACTGTGTTTATGATTTCCCTTTTGCTTTTATTTTTATTTTTATTTTATTTTACTTGACTTTTTGAGATGGAGTCTAGCTCTGCTGCCTAAGCTGGAGTGCAGTGGCGCGATCCCAGCTCACTGCAACCTTCTCCTCCCAGGTTCAAGCAATTCTTCTGCCTCAGCTTCCCGAGTAGCTGGGATTACAGGTGCCTGCCACCACGCCCAGCTAATTTTTGTATTTTTAGTAGAGATAGAGTTTCACTGTGTTGGCCAGACTTGTCTGGAACTCCTGACCTCGTGATCCACCTGCCTCGGCCTCCCAAAGTGCTGGCATTACAAACATGAGCCATCGCACCCGGTCTAGTTTTTATTTTATATTTTTCATTATAGGGAGAAGCAAAAGGTGTTGATATATTTTTAAAACACATTGACCACAGAATTCCACCCAGAAAGTCACAAGGAATTAGACAAAGTCAAAGGAGTGCTGCATTTTAGTTTTATGGCTCTCTTCTTTCTAAAAGTTGTTCTCTTTTACATTAAAATATTATTTTTCCCCAAAATACTTTCAGTGATATCCACACTCTAAGAGATTTCTTTAATTTAAGCCTTGTACGCAGTTCCCAGCAGTTTCATTTATAAGAGCTCGGGAGCACAAATTAATATACACAATAAATTGTATAAAGCCCAAATGCTAAAGCATGATATTCAATTGAGATGAGCTAGTAAAGACCACATTATTGTGTTTAGGGTTAACGAGGAAAAAATAATCCTTGCTTAAATTACAATTTCTCTGTGAAGCCTGGTCTATCCAAGACTATAAAGAATGTATAATTAAATTTAACTTTGTTTGGGTAAATTTGTAGCCAAGAAGAATAGGAATGATATTTTTCTAATTCCGTTTCTAAATTTAGGTTTAGGTATTACAATGGAAAGTACATATGTTTATGTGAAGATTGTGCTAAAGGCTCTTAGTAAGCATATGCTTCTTTATCTTTATTTTATTTTTTTGAGTTGGAGTCTCACTATGTTGCCCAGGCTGATATTGAACTCCTGGGCCCATGTGATCCTCCAGCATCCACCTCCTGATAAGCTGGGATTACAGGTGCATGCCACCACACCCAGCTTAACTGCTTCTTTAATAGAAGAGATGGGTTTGTATTTTTTCATGTTTTCAGTTGTAGTATGTATAAGCTTCTGTTCTTTCTATTCATAGATTAGAAAAGGTGATTCTTACGTAGATGTACTTTTGTGCTTTGATTCATTACCATCATGCTTCAGTTAATGAAACCAGCCTGTGAGATAGTCAGCTTAAATTCAAGTTATTAGAAAAATTTTTGTTGTTTTATCTTAAATTCATCTTTAACCATAATTCATTAAGAAACAACATAGACAGGTCTTGATCTTTGGCTTTTAAAATCCTTCATTAGTCTAAAGACTATAACTTTAAATTTCTTTTGTAGTTAATTAAACTTAATGGGCAGAAATACTGAATGACTCATCCATGTAAAATAAAGTATAAGCATATAGATTATTTACAAATCAAAGCATGTGTAAAAAAATTAAGTGAGAGGGCATCACTTAACAGCACAAAGATATTATCAACTATTCAAATGAAAATGCTTTTTTAAAAAAAGTTATTTAAATTTTTGTTAATTTTAGTATGTACAATTGTTACCTTTTAAAAATATGACAGTTGGATAAGTCAAAATACCAAATATAGATTTGACTTGAAATATTTAAAGTATAGTCTTTTTTTTCTTAGTGAATGAGGTATGTGTACTTTTCTAAACAATCTTTGAGGCTTTGTACATGTTGTCCAATATAAGAACAATGTTTGTAAGACAGAATAATATATATTAGAAATTTAAGGGATTTCCATGCATAGGGTACTTTAAATAATAAATTATCTTTAACATTAGAAAGATATCATATTAATAATTATTAAGGTTTTATTTTATGTCATTCATTACTGAATTTAATTGCTGAATCATCCCTAATTTTAAGTATACTTAGCTTTATAGACTCATTTAGTAGGAGATTCTATTACTTTTTGATATTTGGTGTCCTTTTTATTTTCATTTGCAAAACTGACCTGTAAATATGAAGTGCTTCATTTGTAAATAGGTAAAGATTTCTATTTTGTTTTGTTTTTAAAGAATGTGGCTTCTTTAAGAAGAAACTCCTGCACTAACACTGATATTTCCATTTGATTTTGTGGTATTTATAGACTCTTATACTATCAATTTGATTCATATTTCATTAGGCCGTTTATAAGATTTCTATTCTTCTGACATAATATGGAAAAGAAGATTGGCTAGAAAAAATACCATATTGCCAATAGCATTCTGAAATTGGATGTATTTTTAAGCTATCATGTATTGGGCCTGCTGAGGGAAGGTTCATTAGGTAACACTGTCAGTGTTGCCAAGGTTTTAGCTTTGAATTCCATGATCTGTTCAGATTATTCCTAGGATTTAAGCTCTCCATTAATCCTAGAACCTAGAAGGTATGTTATTTATGTGGGATACTAGATTGTTGAAGAGAATTTTAGGATTGGTTCAAGTCTGCAAAATATGAAAATGGAGCAGAAAAGGATAATACTCCCTTTCCCCCAAAATACTAAAGTCTTTTCATAATGAGTCAGTGACATTAGTGTCAATCATCATCTTCATCATTGTCACTGTTATTGGTCACTTAAAGTGATTTTTAGGCTATACCTTTTGGCAGGGGGGTGGAAATAGTTGGATAGAATTTGGTGTTAAAACTACCCAGGAGAATTAATTTGCACAGCCTTAACAAAATTTGTATGATCGTTATTTATTTAGACCAAATACAATTCATTTTAATTTTCATCCTATCATATGTTAACTTTGAGTCACTTAGAAGCATCTTAAAGCCATGTTAACTCCAATTCTTTTGTACTTCTATCAAAGATTGTGTGTGGAGGTTAAGATTGTTATCTAAATGAATATTATGAGCACACTGTAGAAGTAAATCCTGGATATTTAATTTCATATTGCAATTTGCCAAAATTCTATGCCAGCACTATTAAAAACACAGTATAACGTAACATCTTTCAAAATGTTTAGGATATTGTGCTTTCTTGGCTAAGATTTTCTGTAACTCTTGAGTATCTATTTTGGATTATAAATTGTATCAGAAATATTTTTGATATCTGTAGGTAGAAATGGTTGAGATAATATATTGATAAAACAAATTAGAACACTTCAAAGACAACATAAGCTATTTTCATTTTCTGTTAAGCGAAAATAGAAGATATTCTTTCATAACCCAAAGGGAAACAAGTTGCATATCACCTGCCATATAGTGAGACTAGGAAGCCATTATCAATAAATTTATATTTCTAACACATGAATTTGTAATTTTATAGATTAATTCTAATTATTGCTCATATAGTTTTAGATTTCGATATGCTAATATGTATTAATATTTCATTTTAACAATTGTGCTAAATTCTTTAAATTGTATACCGTTTCTGTAAAATATGTTACTGATACCTGTTCACCTTGTTTTTTGAAATGCCTATTTAGGAAACAGTGAGGAAAAATATGATTATGTTTTAGTGCGATATATAGTAAATCAATTTTGCATTTGAAGTACCTTTTCACCAATATTTAAAATATCTCTTGTAACATAGGTCTCATGATTCATTAGTTATATTTTGTGTTGACAGTGAAGTAAAATGTTCTATTTTAGAATGTTAACAAGACAAATGAAATTAGCAGTTTTAAATTTCGTTTGATTAAAAAAGAGGTCCTAGTAATCTCAACTAAAACAAATGCAGAGAAATCGTTAATCCATGAAATTGACTTTGCATGCACATTAACTCAAACTGTGTCTCTAGAACAATGCATCTAAACTTTTGCTGGCCATTATGGAAAGCAGACATGACAGCGAGAATGCAGAAAGAATTCTTTTTAACATGAGACCCAGAGAACTGGTAAGAAAACTTTTAGAAGCTTGGTTAATATTGAGTAACCTAAAAGGAACAAGTTTAGAGAATGCATGTCAGAAAAAAATGTTGATTGATTTTCATTGCTCTACTGAGACAAATGGAGCATCATGACCTACCATTTCCAATACCTCAGAAGGCCCTGTGTTGGCAAAGGCCTGTGTGATCTGGGCCTTATGACTTCAGTAGTTTTATCCACTCCAAGCGCTTTTCTTAGCCAACTTATCACACTATACTAAACTGTATGCAAATGTGTATTGCCAGAAAAAAAGTTGGCTTTAGTTTAATGGTGTATTGGAGCATATGAGGAAGGGATGTAAAAAAAAAAATGTTCGTACTCTTCAAAAATTTTATTTATACCTCTTTCTGAAAAATAAAATAAAATTAGTTTTTTTTTGTAGTTGTTCTTCTCAGTGATATGTTGTACAATGCTTGGCCTCAAGGAAACTGTGCAGACTCTAGTAGAGATTCCACAGAGATCATTAGTGTGTCTTCCTATTGTAGAAGTTATCTTTTCCTTTTCACTCATGGCATGCACATTATGAAATAATGCAGGTGTATTTTAAAAGCATTGGGTTCCAAAAGCATTGAGAACATACTCACATAATATAGCTCAGTGCCCTGGTGATTAAGCTCCACTCACATCAGGGCCGTTGTTGGTGCTATGGGCATCTCCTATGAAAGCCTGGCACAACACTCTTTTGCTATCACTTTGTTAGTAAAGAATGGAGTCATGGAGGTCAGGCAAAAAGAGAGATAAAGTGAAGTTTGATTTAATATATATTTAATGAGAGCCCAGTGTCTATCTGCAAGCAGTGAGTTACAAGGACCAACACATTTCCTATCCTATGGTTAAATGTGGCAGTGAATTATATTATTTATTCAACAATGGCACTGTGCAATAGCCCTTTGAAAATACTAGTTCCTCTGTGGACAACACCTTTATCCTGTCATCCCCTTCCTCCTTGTGGCCCACCCTCCACCTCTTGCTTGAGTATATGCCCCTGCTCTGCACTTCCTTAGAAACATACATAGCCCTGGAGTAGGACTGACAGCACCCCACTGTGTTTGCCTCCTTCCTTGCTTGTCCCACTGGACAGTAAATTCCTTGAGGGTACTCTCTCCTATCCACTGTTGGGAACCTCAGTTCCCAGGGCAATTTCTAGCACCATGTCTGCCTGTTACTTAGTGGGCACTTAGTAAATAATGGATGTTTACTGGGGTTCTCGATTCTCCTAATTCTTGGGAACTTTGACACTATAAACATTCAAATTTCAAACAAAAATTTCGAAGGAAAAGGGGAATATTGTAGGAAAATACTTTCATGTTCATTGAAATAAAGATGGTTTCCAAGGCCATTTTCATTTAGAGTCCTTTTATACTTTTGAGGCTCATGAAGCTGCCCAATTGTTAATTAAACCTCATAAACAATGTAAAGCGGATGTTGTTTCTGGCATTTCAGTCTTCTTTTTTTTTTTTCGATAGGTGGATGTGATGAAGAATGCCTACAACCAAGGATTGGAATGTGACCATGGGGATGACGAGGGTGGAGATGATGGTGTTTCTCCAAAAGATGTTGGACACAATATCTATATTCTGGCCCATCAGGTGTCACATTTTATATCTTTACATTATTTTGCTCATTCTATCAATCGTGTTTTGTATCCGTGGCTTGTTGCCATATTTTCAAGTTCTGGTCCCTTCATTTATTCAGCACTTACACCTAGGTTTGGGCTAAAGAGAGAATGCCCAAAATGCCTGACTATGCACCCCAAGGTATGCTAGGGGACAGTCCACAAGAAAACAGTTCTTGGTGCCCAAAACTATTGGGCCAGAAGGGAGGAGAATTCCCATGTCAGCCTGAGCCATGGATAAACCATGGCAACAAATGAGGGTCCTGAAGGAGAGGGGAAGAGAGGCTACTGCGGAGACAGAGTATGAAGTGAGGGGGTGCATTCAGTCCTAATCAGGACGAATTTGGCAGGTAGTCTCTGGCCTCCTTGAATTGTAGGTTGACGTACTTTCTGTAGAAGCCATAAACTGGCAACCTCTGATTGGAAGTGTGAGTCTAAACTTTAAATTCTTTTGAAGGAACTGTTTCCATTTTATAACTTTAAAAAACAGGTGCCTGATGAGTACTATTCATAAATTTAATACCATTAACATGAAGATCAACATTAAATTGGCATCTCTGCAAATTTGTTTAGAAGGTAAACATTTTAAATGTACATTTGCCAATTTGATTTTGTCTATGATAGCTCCTTTGTTTTTACAAAATGAAGTTCAAACTTTAGAGACTTGCTCTATCTTTCTTTCTCATCATTTTCTCCCATTGGCGATCATTCCCTTCTGTTTCCCTGTACGTTTTATCAGTTGATTGAATAAACATCAATAGATATAAAGTCAGATTCTCAGAAGATTTATTTTGAAGGTTGCTCTTTAGACATTTCTTATGCCCTTTTCTACCCTTTCTATAAATGTCTAATATATGTGAACTTGACTATAATTGTTACAAAACCTTCCAGGAGGGAGTCAGATTCTGAAAGATACTAACAAAAGACACCACTATTGTTTTATAATATATCTGGCTCATTGAGAAGATTTTAAGGTCTCTCATAGTGTATCAAAATGCCTATGTAGAACAGAAAGTGGTAAGGGCAGACGAGTTTTAGCTGGACAGATGAGCATTTTAGCTGCTGAGCAACTGAAAGCTAGGATGATGGACAAGTTGAAGGAAGCAGAAAGTGGAGATTTAGAATGTGGAAAAGGTGTCATTTTAGAGAGAAAGAGAAGTCAAGTGACACAAAGTGAGTCAGTCTAGCAAAGGAATGACTAGAGATTGAATGTGAGTAGAAAGAAAAAAATCCCAGGCTGAGAATTAAAATCACATTTGCTATAGAATGAACACAGAAACATGCTGAGACATATGTGTACAGGGTCAAGGAGTTACTTTAGAGGCTGTAGCACTGTGGAGGGAAGGAGGCAAGGAAGATGAGCAAGGTCAAAAAGGCAAGGTCAAAATGAGCAGTAGTAAGTTTCAGAAGAAAGTAGGGAAGTAGAGCCACCTCTGTTTTCTTGACTGCAAGATAGTCTTGCTGTGTGTGGGGGAGGTTGTCTTCTTGCACGAGTGAGCAGCTGTGAATAAGATCTGACTGTGTAGCTGTTAGGTGGGGAATGAACAACCAGACCAGCTAAGCTTGCCCTGGAGCCAGCAGAGTGACAGACTGACCAGCAGACAATAAATGAACCACCTCACATCCATTAAGAAGTTTAAAAAAGCAATCTCAGATGACCAGTATCTTAGGAGTAACAGTGAACATGTCAAGGTAAAGAAAAGACTTATGTTAGGTCACTTCAGTTTGAAGCAGACCAAGCATAAGAGTAGAGGATGCAGGCCAGGTGCAGTGGCTCACACCTGTAATCCCAGCACTTTGGGAGGCTGAGGTAGGTGGATCACTTGAAGTCAAGAGTTCAAGACCAGCCTGGCTAACATGGCAAAACCTCATCTCTACTAAAAATACAAAAATGAGTTGGGTGTGGTGGCGCATGACTGTAATCCAAGCTACTTGAGTGGCTGAGGCACGAGAATTACTTGAACCTGGAAGGTGGAGGTTGCAGTGAGCCGAGATCGCTCCACTGTGCTCCAGTGGGCAACAGAGTAAGACTCTGTCTCAGAACAAACAAACAACAACAACAACGCAAAAAACCAGAGTACAGAATACAAATTTTTAAAAGGACATTGTTACATGCTGAGAAGAATGGACAAAGAGGGTAAAGAATGCAAGCACTGCTCAGAGATGGAAAGATGATAGAAAAAATAAAGCAATCTATATATGAAATAAATTCAAAATGAAGATGGCATAAAGGCCAGTTATTTCAATGAATTTGAGTTTATTACAGTGCTTGAAGAGGAGAATAGACATATGCAAAGAGGATGGTGGAATTGTCCAAAAAGTGGAAATTTAGAAGTGGTAAAAAAAAATGTTACAAGGGGTTAAAACAACTTGTTGAAAGGAAGAGAAATCAATGATATGAAAATGATTGGGGTGGATATATTGAGATTTTTTTTTAACTTCCCAGAAGAAAAATGTTGGAAAAGCAATGATTTGTAGAGCAATGAAAGTCCAATACAGAAGTACAGAAACAAAGCCAGGCCTCTAGAAGAGAGAGAACAAACATCAAAACGAAAGAGAATAAAGAGAAAAGGAGATTCTGAATTGCTGAATACTTTAAGCCTTGTGATTACACTGTAAAAGATTAAATATTAAATAAGAGTCCACATGAGTCCCTGTTAGAACCCAAAAAGGGCACAAGTATGGAAGGAAAGTAGGCCAGTTGTATGTAACTGACAGTGTAGAGTTAAGCAATTGCTTGCTTATTCTTTTATAGTGACACAAGGAGTGATTTTCTTGCCACCATATAAATGTATTATTTATGGGTTAACCCCTTCACCAATTTTCCATGAAAAATTATGAGCTTTTACTCACAGAAGGGAGACCAGTGTGCTCTGCTGATCTTTCTGCAAGTGACTCCTTGGCTTTCTCTAGGCTAGGATGTCATATTTGGTTTCTTAGGAGGCCAATCTCTAAGATTGTTGCCAAGTTCCTCATAAATCTATTGTGCTCCACAAACTCACAAGGACTGGTTGGTTGTAAGCACTGCTTCAGAAGTGGCCATGTAGCTGTGCTATAGGGATTTGGTCGAGTCCAGTTTCCACTGTTTCGTTGTGGATATGCAATCACTGGGCTCCTGCAGGCAAATAACTGTGCAAATTGGTTTCTGGCTTTGCACAGTTCAGTACTTCCAAAACCAAGATGCAACTTCCTCTTTGTTTTACTATAATCGTCTTTTGTGCAGACAGTTTATTCTGGTGCTCTCAGACTTTCAATTTTTGTTGTTGTTCTTTTCATGGTAGTAAGGTAGTTCTGCTTTTTCTGCCATGACATCCCTTTTGGCCTTTCCTGTGGTTGGTGTTACAAGAAACAAATAATGCTTCTTGTAAGTGTCTTGTCTGATCTACATAAAACTATAAATACCTCAAAAAGGGAATTTCTTAACTTCTAATACTATAGTGTTGTGCAGAGAATTTCCTTAAAATCCAACTAATTGTACTTTTTGACTTTCTATCTTCTGCATATTTTCCTTAAGCCTCTGCCCCATCTGTCTGCTTTACTCTTGGTCTTTTACATTCTTTTCTTGCTTTCTGTAGAAACAGTCTCTACACACAGTCCAGAGCACTGTTCAGTACTTTGTGTATGTCCAGTATATATTAAACCATATTGTTTCATTCTCTCCTGAAGCAATTACTGTTCTTCTGTCTGAGACCCTGCATTTAATGCCTACCTGAAGTAAGAAGCATATGGAGAAATGTTATATGCTTTTCAGGTTGGGGAGAAGTATTAGATAGCAAACTGTAGGAAGCAAAAATAACTCCTGGATCATAAGGCAAGAGAGAATGGGTCACTCTGATTGGTTATATTTAATTCTTTTCAAAATGCAGGCTTGAAAATTTTTCATGAGCATTTTCCTATATCACTAAATGGTCTTTGAAAACATAATTTTAATGCTACATAATTGTTCCTCATTTGAATATACCATGATTTGTGTAATCACTCCTTATTGTTAGACATTTAGGTTTGTAATGTATTTGATATTATAAATTATGCCATGATTGACATCCTCATACATTAATCTTTGTCTGCCACACTGATTATTTCTCTAGGATAAATTCCAAGAAGCTTAATTACTGGGTCACAGGGTAGTAACTATTTTATAGTTCCTGATGCATACTGTAAAATTGTTTTCCACAGTTTATTATGGTACTTCTCTTACTGAATCCTAAAATTATTACCATTTAAAAAAATACTGGCCACACTGATAGTATTTGGAACAACAATGTTTGCTGAATGAATTAACATATGATAGATGAAAGGAGAATCGCATTTTGATTTATATCTTTTGGATTACTGGTAAAATGGGCTATCTTTTAATATTTTCTTTGGTTATTTGTATTTCTTCTGTGAATTACTTGAAAGTATATTTATCTCTTATTTTATAAGGTTCATTTTCCTTAATGAAGTTTAATTAGAGATAATAACTTTTTGTCAGTCATATTAGTTAGATGTACTTCTTTCTGATTTACTGGCTTTTATGTTTTCATAATAGTTTTCTTTCAGCACCTCGAGATCATTTAAACACTCACCTAGATTTTCTTTTGGTGTCTAATGAATTCAGGTTTTGTATGTAATTATATAATCTTTCCATGTCATAATGCAAAAATAATAAGGAGGAAAGCTCTGATGCTTCATCTATAAAGACATATTCCAAAATTTAGTGTGACAGCAATCCATGAGGGCAAGATTTGCAGGAATTTTAGGAGGGTGCTGTAGAGCGTGGGTCACAGAGAAAGCTTTAGTAGAAGAGATTAGGGCCAAAATCTAGCCACCTTCAGGGCCAGACAGGGTATGTGAATGAGTGATCTAGGGGCTGATGAGGTTGGGACAGTCTGATGTTCCTCTTCCAAAGCAGGGAGCCGTTACTCACTTCTGCTGACTTGCCAACTGGGCTCGCAGGCCCTCGATTTCCACTTGTTCCAGTATTTCAAAAGA